TTTCATGTGCCTTATCAGAGTATAGAAGTATTGTTTAGGACGTGATATGAAAAACTAGAATGTTACTGACCGAGTGAGAATTGTGGCTCTTATGTGAGAATGGCTCAGTATTGTTACACTCGTTGCTTCCATAATTCACACAAGCAAGACCTGAAAAGGTTAAGATACATGCATGTATACCTAAGCACTCCCTTAAGAGTTAAGACTCATAGACGCAAACCAAGCAAAATTTAAAATGAAAAGAAAAGTCTAGTATAAACCGAAAACAAAACACATCATCACTTACCGTTCATATAAATTGTCTTTGTTATTTTTTTTATATATTTTTTTTAATTGTCTTTGTTATTACGTTCTATTAGAAATTTTTGATCCGATTACAACTTACAGATTCATATAATGATATTAATTTTTCTTGATAAACTTATATCGAATTTGTACTTAATTATTCCTATGAGTATCAATATAAGAAAATTGAAAAATGTAACAGTTGAAGTTATGAAGTAAGAAAATAAAAGACATGCATAACACAAATAAACTCGACCAGTGATCTCTTTAACAAAGAGATTCCAGTTTCGATTTGTTGTTATCGTAACCGCAAGTTAAGTTTAATATAAGTATGGGTTAAACAAACAAAAAAAAAAACACAAATAAACAAATAATCAAAGGACAAAGTATATAAAGGCAACATATTAGTAGATTTAAAACCAAAAGAATTCTAATAGGAAGCAGAAACAACTCTAATTAACCGGTGAAACCAGGTAAGAACCATCGAGCATCGGAGAAGAGCATGGAGGAGAAAACACATTGTGGCATAGGTTCCATGGTTTGGGTGGTGAGATCATAGACGTATATATGGTTGGTATATATTCATAATGGGATGGCTGTTGCCAGTGAAATAAATGGAGTTTTTCTTGATCCCTGGGATATCTTTAGCGACAACCGTGAAACCCATGTCCACGATTAAAGCATCATCACCTAAAGAATCAACTGTTACCCATCTCCACGTCAGAGAATCTAACTGGTAGATGTAAAATTTCCATGTTTTACTAACATCACACAATGTCCAATCTACACTCAGAATTTGTCCAGGTACTGTAGTTGAAACATGTATCCATGACCCGAGAGGATTGTAGTTTTGGTCCACAGTGTACTGACGAGGTCCCTCATAGACCGAATCACAAAGATTTAAACTATACCAATCTTCACGTGTGATATCAATAGAGAAATCCCAAACATAGAGATTATTGTAGTCAACAAAAGTGTAGACCTTGTGATCTCTATGATTATAGACAATTTGATCATACGTTTGAAGTTCACTAGGGTGAACGTCTCGCCACGTATCGTCACCATTCTTGGTAAAAACTATATCGTCGTTAATGATCCAAACAACGAGGTAATCTTTGGTTATGTCGTCTATCCAGAGGCAAGCTATGTTGCATGAGTGGTATCGTTTTAAAGTGTCAGGATAATAATGGGAGGGAAAATGTGGTAGTTCAATTCTCTCTAAGGTCAATAGATTGAGAATGTAGAGATTGAAAAGATGGTCTAGCATTAAGAACCAACTACCGTAAGTTGCAAGACAAGAACTCTTTGCAAAGTCAAGACCAAGATCTCGAGTCTTGTAAACTTTGTCTTCATCATCAGGAATAAATAAAACACAGCTATTGGTATTATTGGTTTCGTTCTCTCGAGGGAAGAGTATCAGCCACGGAATTTGATTCGTTTGGGGACGCAGCCTCTCGAAGCAGAGTTCCATGACCTACAAACTGATTTTGCTCGATTAAGATTTGTGAAACTCAATCGTTCGAAAACACTTCGTATACAAGTCCGGACAAAGCTCCGACCACTTTGGAATCACCGAAAGCTGATTAGAGTTTGTCTTGTTTTGTTCCATTCCTCTCAAAATTATCAAGTCTTGTTTGACACACAAAATTTTGATTACGACCTCGTTACTTCCTCTCCTTATTTATTGACCTCAAACTGACCTAATTAGGGTAAAAATATTAGAATATTTCTATATATCTTTGAAAGATAGTAAGATTGTACATATTTTTAGGAACCATACTTAGGTTTACCTCTGGGGTGAACCTTTAAATTCACCCAACAGATTATAGCCAATCGTTTTGCCATGTCATTACTAATACTAGAGAATTAAAAAAAAACACACAATTAAAAAAAAAAAGGAAATCAGAAAATAGATTTAGGGTTTAGGGTTTAGGGTTTAGGGTTTAGATTTTACAATTAAAACGAAATTAGATGTCGGTTTGGGTTGCCAAATGAGTGGTTAAGGTTTAGATTTTATAATAAA